AATGCATCCTGCACTCCAGCCAGCATTTTGATAGCTGTCCTCCTTTAGAGCTTCCTCTTTGCAACCATTCCTTGATGGCATCTGGAACTGAATGACTTGTCAGATCTGCGGAAGAGGGCAAACAGTTTAATAAAGAAAAGAAGACACACATATGGTAGCCGATTCTATGCGCTATAGAGAGGGAGAGAACGATCTGAAGACTTACTGCATATATAGGGATCGAAAGGATACCTTTATTTGGTCTTATTTGTACATCCTTTGGCATTTTTAGGTAAGAACTTTTAAGCCAGGTCGAAAAATAATAAACTTATCTCTCACAAGATAATAGTTCCTCAGACTAAAGCCTATTTATCGCACTAACTTGAAGTTAATCCTCGAGTTTTATTGCTTTCTTCGAGAGTCTGGGATGGTCTCTCAAGTCGCCCATCGCCCTGAGCACACAAAACTTATCCCAAAGCGAGCAAATGGGAAAATATTAAAAGAAAAATAAAGTCCTTGGAAAAAACGATTTTCCCCGTGTGTGTGTGTGTGTGTGTGTGTGTGTGTGTGTCGTTGAAGGAAATGGAAAATATGTAATCTTGTGCATCGACAGGCTGGCACACACATTTTGCACTTCTGCACACCAACCATTCGCACCACATAAAAACTTGTTATAGAAATATTTTACAAGAATTGGCCAGCCATTTTAATCGGAGCGCAATGATTTCTGATTTTCTGAGATTGCAATTTTCCAAATTGATTTTCAATGCAGAGAAAAGGCGAACGAAGGTCAGCGACAGAGAACGAACTGCTGTGAACTGCCCAAAATGTGTGTTGTGGCAGACAGAAAGACAAAACCAGATGCCCCCACCCAAGCCACACTCAAATAGACTCGTGGAATGAACAGAGCTGGAGCTTTGGCTGGCCCAGCGATGATGAATGCATCTGATGGGTAGGGAAATATTTGTTACAACCGACAGACAGACAGAGTGGACCCGCAGCAGGGGACGGATCAGGGACGGTGTCAGCGCTAATCGAATCAAATGCAGTGCACGTTGTGTCTACGGGTAGAGTGGGAAAGCCACAGACAATGCATCAAACGAACTGTGCGGCGCTGCACAGTGGGCACATTGCTATCTGAATAGATATTCTATTTCAATTGGACTTGAGCAAAGAACAAAGAAGCTTAGAACCACTTACGTTCCACTCTATGAATGCCTTCCACTTATCTTCCACTGTTCCGGCTGCCTCTCTTGCTGTGTTCCACGGTTCCACGGTTCCACGGTTCCACTGTTCCTGCCCTGCCCCCCTCCTGCTCTTTGGGGGAGCAGAGCGGCAGGCACGTGTTCGGGGAATGGCGTAACCGTATCGGTTCCTAGGAGAGCAGCGCCTGGGACATGCTTGATTGAGTTTAGAATCAGATTTGTAGTGCGCTTTGACCACAGTGGGGGCTTCGCATTGCAAATTGAAATAAAAACGAAACGTGACAACAGGCCTTACGCGCAATCAAATAAAGTTTGTTGTCCCACAACCCTTTTGCCACAAGCTTGACTGATGTCAGCATTGCGCTGGTTCCACAGTGGCGGAAGATGCACTGCCCACGGATCCGCTGTCAGCTCCCTATCATCCGCCACGCAGTACCATCTCTTAGTATTATCCTAACATTTCTCCCCCTATTTTCTGCTTTGTTTTGTGTGTGTTTTTCTCTTTTGATTCTCAGGTAAGTCCTAGATTCTATATCGATTGTAGTTTATTTTCTTGTAGAATAAGTACTTCCAGCTTGTAGTCACTGTCTTTCTCTCTCTCTCTCTCTTAACATATGTGCGTCTTATCCTCCGCTCGCATGCCACACACACACACACACACACACACACACACACACACAGCGACACAAGCCCCATTTCATACATCATAAAGGAAAATAAATCTCATCACAAGTTTAATGTGCAATAATTTGATAAATATATAAAATTATTTTCTTTTTTTTCTCTCTTCTATTCCCTCCCCCGCACATACACTCACATAACACACACACACACACACACACACACACACACACTTACACCCTAACAAAATATATATATGTATATGTATGTGTATATGTGTCAAACCCCCGCAAAAATAAAAATCAAAAATATTTTGAACAAAATACAAAATTAAACATTGAATCGATAAATGAGCAGCATTCGGTAAGTAAATTATATTTCTACCTATATCTATATTCCATTAAATTAAGTGTATAAATTAATTATGCAAAATAAAGTGACTTTTGGGAGGGTTCTGGCTGGTCAGAGGAAGGCTTCAGCCGAACCCGCGAATGCATCCTTATGATTAATAAAGTATGGGATATTAATCTGTATTTTGAAAGAGACATTAATGCACAACACTCATCAGGAAGTCGAAGCAGAGCCCCGCAGAATCTAACAAAGAACGAGCGGGTGCCACTCCTGGGGAGATTTATGCGGAAACTTTATTCATAATGTGTGAAAAAGTGTATACTTTGTGCAATTTTGCATTTAGAAAGGGTACAAATACCTAAACAAAAGTTCGATTAACAATTCGAAGAAAAGCCATAAGGACCTCCCACTCCACTCCTTCCCTTTAGTCGCTCGGAATTTAAGCTCAAAGCATTTGATGTTCAACCAAAACTCAAAGGCGCAAAAATGCGTTTCATAAAAAACTCCCAGAATTTGTCTATTCAGAAGTAATTTCCAAGAATTCTCCGACGTTGCATGGAATACGAATTATTTATTCATTTATGTACATGGATTCATGGCCATTGACATGATGTTTGGAATGTCAGAATAAAACTAAAGAACTTATAGATGGGCATCGTTATGCCTGTCACAAGATAAATCCCACATTCATGTTGTATTCTGTAATTGTCGGCAATTATCCAACAAGTGAGAGGGGATTAAAAAGTATGAAATCAAATTTGAGCAGCGGCAAAAACAGAAGCGGAAAAACTTGATAATTTCCATCGGTGGAAAGCGTGGAAAGTGTGGAAAGTGCGGAGAAGACCCATCCTCTGGATGCTTTTCCTATCTCTCTGTCTTATTTCTCCTTGTCCTGATTAATGCGCCAGTGGCAGCTTCATGAATTTATGAAGTTCAACCAAGGGAAGGAGCTCTTGCCATCGCCCACTCGTTCTCTCCATATCTTTGTTGTACTCGCTGACTGGCTAATGGACAGCCGTTGGCGCTGGTCAGAAGGCCCACAGCCCACAGCCCACAGAGTCGAGCAGTTGGATACCCTTGGAAATGTATCGTTTATAAGGATGTAAAGCAGGTTGCAACCATCTCTGTGCAGGGTATCTGCCATATGAAAACGAAAGCGACAGCAGAAGCGACTTTGTGGTTGCCTAGGACTTTCAGTCGACTGACTCGACTCTCCTCTCGAGCCTCCTATCTAACGATGCCATTATATTGTCATGAATATGATTATGTTTCCACCGCTCTTCTCCTCATCCTCCTCCTCCTTTAGCTACTGTTCCTCCCCGTCCTCCCCGGGTTGTCATGTGGGGGGGGGGCAAAGGTAGCTGCAAGGCAAGCGTCACATTTCATTGGCGAAAGCAAAAGTTTTCCCTTAAATAAATAGCACAAAATATGTGCCCTTAAAAAAATATTCAAGAATTTATGTGCCCTCCTCGGTGCCTCTCTTTTGCACACACTTTAACACACTCTCTCTCTCTCTCTCTCTCTTTCTCTCTCTCTTTCTCGCTGTGTGTTTTCTTTGCTCTAGTGTCTCGTGGTCCCTCCTCTGATACTCGCTTGAATTTATGTGCGGGGAGCGTGTGAAGAATTTGTAGCCTCGCGTTTAATTGCTCAACGGAGGAGGCCACCGCCGCAGCCACAGCCGCTTCCCCTTTCTCTGAGTCGCCTTTCCCCTTAGAGCTCCTTCATCTCTGCTCGCAGTGCTCCTCCATTCTCCCTGCCCTTCCAGAGGTCGCTCTTCTTGTGTGCCAAAGTGTTGTATGCCATAATTAAAGCCGACTTAGCCAGACAGCGCGCGAGAAGCATCTGTTTTCGGTCTGACAAAAGTTCAAGTTCAGAGCAGCAGCAGCAGCAGAAGCAGAAGCAGAAGCAGCAACCGCTTGGGTAACAACCACCCTCCCCCCGCCAGCAACCGCTGGAGTACCTTTTTGCTGACCTTGCGGGAGACACGAGTGCAGCAAAATGCAGCAGGAGGCAGCAGGGGGCAGCAGGGGGCAGCTCTAGCACTTTTTTCCACCTTTCGTTCATTCATAATTTAGCTGCTTGCTCGCGGGGCGGGGCCTGGCATTTGAAGCTGCGGCTTTCACATGCCCAGCATCAAGTATACGCGGCGACTTAGGGAAAATATTCAAGAAATACTCGTTAAAGTGCAACCATAAAACAATCATCTAGCGGAACAAAAGGCATCACAGACAAAGAGATCTTTAGCTTTTGCCTTTTAATAAGAACAAATAAATCACAGGGCAAGGAGGGAGGACCCGCCCAGAAGAGTGAAAGACTTGAAAGCGGAGAGAATTTGAGAAGAGTTGAGGCCCAGCAGACTTCGGGGGCAGCTGAAACCTGAATCGATTTCGTTTTTGTTTCAAAATTGTAGGTGCTTTGCAGCCTAAACCCAAACCCAAACCCAAACCCAATTGAAGATGTGCCCAAACACACACACACAAGGCAGGAACCGAATGCTAACTGCAGCTCCATTTGAGTGCCACTGAGGCAGAAGTTTCCCATCAGCTGTCCAGTTTTTCCCTGCTCTTCCCAGCTATTATTTGATTACGTTTCAACCACAAAACCTGCAATGTCATTACTGTGGATATTTCGACTCGAAGTTGGCATCGCTTTGCTGATATCTGATGGCTGATGGCTGATGGCTGAGGCTTCCGCCTTCGTTTTGCTTAAGACTCGCCTGAACTCTGACTTTGAACCTTTTCTCCCCCCGATAATAGTTACCTCGCTGCAGTACAAAATAAAGATTGTTTTTTATTTAACATGCAAGTAAAAGTAACGAAAAGTAACAAAATATAAACAGGGGGAATGTTTGGCTGCTCAACGGAATATGTTATTCAGATCTGCTCAGATCTGCATCGGGATCCGCATCGGAATCAGCATCGGGATCAGCCTCAGACTCAGCATTGGGGCCAGCATCGGAGCCAACATCGGAGTCAGCATCGGGGTCAGCATTTGGGTCATTGTCAGTGTCTTCATCACTGTCGGTCTCTTGTTCGGCGTTGGATTCATCCTCATCCTCTTCTTTCTGTTGCAGGTTAAGCGGGGGACATTTCGGTTGGGGTGGCTCCATGTCGGGCACTTTTTCTGGCACCTCCTTTGGCTCCATGTCGCACTCGTCTTCTTGCTGATCCTCGTCGCATTGTTCGTCCTTCTGCTGCTCTCCTTTGGTATCCACTTCGCACTTCTCTTCTGCGGGGCTGTCCTCTTCATCTGTTGGCTGCTCCGTGCCCGCATCTGTCTGCTCTGCATCCTCCTCGTCAGCTGATTCGGATTCCTCACTCGGATTCGCATTCGCATTCGGATTCGGATTCGTCTTCGGTTTCATCTTCTGCAACTCCGATTCGAAGTTCTCGAGATCATCAGCGAGGGCTTTGGAGTTTTCGTGTATGACCTTTAGGATGCAGGAGACTCGCTCCATAAAAGCCCCATCGTCATCACTCTCCGTCTCTTGGTCCTCCGCCTTCAGCATCTCATATTTGGCCTCCTGCACAGCCTCCTCTTCTTCGCTGTTGTCTGCGTCTTCATTATTATTAGCTGCGTCATCGTCTGCAGCCTTCGTATCTTCATCTTCATCCTCATCGTCCTCGTCCTTGACGAGGATGTTCTTGGTGTCCGGATAGAATACTGAAGGATCGGCACAAATCTGAAACTGCATCAGGGCGCCACTGGTGTCGTTTAGGAACTTCTTACCCTCCTCCACTTGGGGACGTTGCTTCAGCTGCCCGTACAGATCCATCAAGGATTTGGTCATCAAATTGGGTGTGGACCCCGGCAGCCAGCGTGCCACAGTGATGGGCAGCAGCCAGCGGAGAAAAACAAATACCAGAAAAGTTTTCAAATTCATTTTCCAGCACGAAAGATTCCCAGATAACTGGACGATACTGTGATTCGGAGTCAGCTACACAGACTAATGATTCGGAGTGGAAAAACATGGCAAGGCACCTTTAAAGATTTCTCTCTCTCTCTCTCTCTCCTCTCTCCTCTCTCTATGATATAAGGGGATGCCTTCGCAAGGGTGGGGTCGCGGTGGGCGGAGATGTCTGGTTTAATTCCCGAACCCACTGCTGCTGCTGCTTTCTACTGCGGTCTGTCACCAGCTTGCATTTCCCCAGCGGTCGCTGACTGCCTGACTGCTGCTGACGTCAAGGATACGACACTGAAATGCTCACTTATTGCGGTTTTATGCCCTTCATTTGTGGCGCATGAGTGCGGTATATTGGCCACTGGAAATGGGAGAATTTCGACGGGGGAAACTAGTCCCACAATCAGCATCCAGTACGATCAATCCACTGCCAAAGGCGTGCCTAAGGCAGCTGGAAGCTGCTTGATCTGCCATCAAAGTGTCAACGATTTGCACCTTTATTCCGGATTGAGAGACGAAGGGGATCTGCCAGTTGCTGGCACCTTTCGTTTCTTTTTGTTGCTTGTTGTTTACAACCTGCGCAACGATTGCCCCAAAGGTGCGGCAGGAGTGCTGGCTGGCTGGATATGACTGCTGCAGGATGGGGCATCTGGTGCCCCTGCACCTCGCCCTCTCCGCAGGATGGGCGCGGAGGGTGGCGCGTTTAACGAATTCATCAGCAGCAGTACAAAAGATGAAGAAAATGGCGCAAACTAAGGCCAAAAGATGCCCACAAGCCAAACACCTACGCAAGCGTAAGGCTCCCTCCTTTCTCCTTTTTCCTTTCTCCTTTCTACTTCATCCATCGGCGGAAGGATGCCTGCGAAAGGATGTTGCCAAGGGGATGGAAATAGAAATGCGGCAGACAAGTGCCAGTGCCCGACCGATGATGACGATGACGATGATGATGGAGTGTGGAAGGTGGAACCAAACTGCGACTGATGCTCATGGCAAATGCATTTCCAGTGTCGCACGTCTGTTGTTTTCCATGGAATAAGATGTTTCGTTTCGTCCCAGCCCCCACTCAGGTCTCCCAAGGCAGCAGATAGTTGTGTCTGTCTGTCCCTCCCCATAATTGCCAGCCAGTGTTCTCTGTCTGTTCGCTACGCTGCGTTGTGCAATTAACGCGACTGCATTTCCCATTTCCCATTTCCCATTTGCCATTGATGTGGCCATGGGGGGAACACTGTCGCAGAGTAAGAAGAGGGTGCAGGGGCACAGAGGGTGTCCTCCAGGGAAGTTTAGTGACATGTAAACATGAACAACTTTATGCAACTAGAAAGCAGCGAGAGAGGAAAAGAAGCTTGCACTTACAATATGGAGCTACCCTTTGATCTGATTAGCTGCTTCGCATAATTATTTGCATAACTAGGGGGAATACTTCTTGTACACATGCTGAAGCTCTGCATGAATGTATTCAAGACAAAATTCCAGTGGGTGGCCCGAATGTATTCAACGGCTGCCCAAGGAGCGGGTACGAGTCGGGAACGAGTTGTTTCTCGAGTGTTTTCTTAACGTTTTAAAAGCTTTTTTAAAGCTGTGCGAAAGCTGTTCGAGTTGTTACCCGCACACGTAAGCTCTAGAGCAAGCTTTGGGACTTCTTCAAAGCTTTAAAGCACAGCCTAAGAAGCTCCAAGCGCAGTTAAAAATGATTTATGAGCTTAGTATCCAAAGCAAGCCGTTGGTTGAGCTTTCTGTGGCTTTATTCTCAGCAAAAGCTTTGAAATATTTGTTCTCTAACCGTTACTATAAAACCAAAACGATGGGAAACGATGGACCGTGATGGGACACACAATTGATGGCCTTTAGAGACTTGCGACTCTCGGCCTGTTGCTGAGTTCTCCCTTGTCGCAGCTCAGAGTTCTCCTCTTTTCTAACAAAAAAAAAAGCAACCTACTCCAAACTTGTTGGCAACTTTTCGCAGCATCATCTGTGTGAATCTTTTAATTGACTTTGGCGAATGCAATGACAGCAAAAGTTTCAGCAACACAGAATGAAAAATTGCTTATTAGGCATTCAATCAATGGGGGAAGGAACTGTATTTAAAAATGGGGTGAATGTGTGCCATCTCATGGCGGGCACTAACGGCGGCTCTGCATTCATTTTACCCAGATGATTTTTCATGTGGAAATCTGGTGAGTAGGTGGTGGTGGTGGTGGTGGCGGGTGGCACCTACAATGAAATATGCTAAATGTTCGCGGATTCAAAGCGAAGCGGTAGGTTGACTTTGTGGCAGCAGAAGCAGCCTTGATCAACTACTTTGGCCAACCCTTAACCCAGCTCATACCTCGGCCTCCCTCCACCCACTTGTATGAGCAGGTGCCTTGGCTTTGGACTTGGACATTATTCATTTCAGACATGGCCACCAACCAGCAGCAGTGAGCCCAAGAGCCAGACCCATGGCACACAAATGATGGCACGCACCAGGCGTGTCCATGCTGGAATGGGCATTGCAATGGACTCGACTGTTTAATACCCATTGGGTAATATACACTTGAAGCATTCCCTAAGCTTGTGATAATAGAATAAACAAGTAAGAAGAAAGTATACCTCACAGATTTACTTTCGATGGTGCTGCATTTGTCCTTGGCGTCGCCCCTCTCCCCTGGAAAAACTTATGAAAATCAGCAAAAAGGAAGAGGGGCAAGCTGAAAACTGAAAATTGAAGCTCATTAGGCACGTTCCACACACTCGAGTTGCCATCGTAGTGGAGGGGGGGGGGGGGGGGGCGTCGCTCATCACGAGGGGTTTTCCCCGACATTTGTTTTGCTCGTCGCTTTCCCGCTTGCTGCCACGTGATGGACCGAACAGAGTGTGTTGAAAGCTTGCGTGCCACAGCCAGACTAGGCCAGGCAGATGGCTTGGCTTGGCTTGGCTTGGCTTGGCGTGGATTGGATTGGATGGCCCAAAGCTCTGCCATGCGGATGTTTTGAAAGCTCAATGCCAAAGCGGCAGGGCAGCCGCATGCTGTGGGACCTCGTGACTGCGTGGTAGGTAGGCGGGCAGATAGCGGCACGGCGCGGAATGTGCGTCGTAGTCGTTTGGGGCACGTTCAGTTACGCTCCCAACGCCAGCTGCTGCAGTCGCAACCCGAGACGCACCGCACGGAACAGACGCGAGCCAGCGCGTTGTGTCGTTGTCCCTCGTTGGTCCTTTGTCGTCGTCCTTTGCTCTCTCTCTCTCTCTCTCTCTCGTTCTTTCGTTCGTTCTGTCGCGCGGCCGCTCGGCCAGCCTGCCTGTCTGTTGGCGATCGTTACCCGTTTTTCGAACTCCCCCCACGTTTTTCGCGCCACAAAAGCTTAACCAAAAATTAAATATATCCAATTAAATACGAACCTCCAGCCACACCCCTGCTGTCGACGCTTTCTCGGTCTCTCCTGCGACTGGTCCTTGTTTGTTTTTTGTTATTGTTACTGTTCCAGTGATATTGCAGTGTTTTCCATGCAGGAAATATTTGTGACAATTGCCTAATTGACAGAGACATACAGCAGGACGAGGACGAGCCCTCAAAGTAATAAAATATACAAATAAATACATAAAATGTGCCCATCAAAAGTGGGTGGAAAACAGATGGAAATATTAAAGGAATCCATTCAGAATATTCAGTGCTGAGGATACGAATAATGTGCATGATTTATGTTTCAATAAAAAGTTCGTTGAAATGTGCAAAATATCTTCGCACTCTCTCTCCCTTCTATGGTAAGCCCCACATTGTAGAAGGGAGCGAGCGAGAAGGAGCTGCTGATTTGTATTACTGTTAATTTGCTGCCGCGATAAAAAAGTTGGCATCCGAAACGAATGGAAAAAACAAAACCAAACCCAACCCAACCCTGGGATACGTTCTGTTGTTTGTTGCTTTTTTTGCTGTAATCACGGCGTGGCATTGTCTATTTTCTTTGGGATTAGGTCCAAGCCTGTAGCCTGTAGCCTGTTGCCCGCCCAACTTGAAACCAGTTTGATACACAAATTGTTCTAGGAATTCCGGTGGAATCTTTGATTTTGCCAGTCCCCAAGCGCTGCGATGTATGCTAGACATTTGTTGTTGTTTTCCTTTTCATACTGAATGCTGTTTCTTACCTTATTTATTGTGGACTTGGTTTTGCTGACATTCCATTGTCCAGCCGTTTGGCCTTTGCCTTTGCCTAACACTGGTATTTGCACGGCAAACAGAAGCCCCCCCCCACAATGGATTTCGTTTTCTCTTGTCTGTAATTAGCCAAAAGTCAGAGGCGTTAATTAAATCACGTAGAAAATGCATAAAAACAAAGCGATTCCCTATCTTTGTTCCTGCCTCTCTTAACCAAATTGATAGCCCAAAGAAATATTACGAGCAACAATTAGGAGCACACACACACACGTGTAGAACCTTTCATCTATGCCCCATCCCATCAAAGGCTTAAGGGGTCCACATGAATTGCCTTCATCATCTTTCACTTTCACTTTCACTTTCACTTTCGCTTTCGCTGCTGGCCTTCTGTTGCGGGCTCTGCTCTTAACTTCTTTGCTTTTCTTCTTGTTGCTTTTGAGATCTTTAAAAGTGTTTTTTTCTGTGGGCAAAAACATTTCTATGCATGACACACTCGATGTTAGAAATTTATTAAAATGTTCCATGTCTTCGAGGTGAGTTCAAAGCGAGCTGAGTCCCTGGATTCTGTTGTCAGTCAGTAGTCCTTCCTTTCAATTGAATTATCTGGCGTTCGTTTCTGGCAAAATAAACTTTCGCCTCACCTCTGGGTGAATGAAAGTTTTCGTCTCCAGACTCTCCTCCTAACTTTCTTTACTTTCTTTAATACACGCAATGACACTTTGGCGTGGCTTGAAGGAGACAACTTAAATGTACAAAAGTTGTTTGTGGAAATCTGTCTGAGGCATACCTGGAACCGTTTGACCATATTTTCCATCTATGAAAGCATTGGGCTCTCTGCTCAAGCAATTTCTTCCAAACGTTTCATGAGTTTTTCCAAACTTATGGCCCCACAATTAATAGCAGA